TATGGCAAGTCTGGGAGCTCGCCGCCGCATTCAGTTCGTGTGTGTTTTTCGCCGCCTGTGAGAACGGCAACACGGACACGTCGGCGGGGCTTCACCACACGTTCACTAGTGCATCCAAATTTCGCGAACATCACGACGGGCACCACTAAGTCTGCTAGCCAACACACTTTCAGGCCTATCATCAAACGGCTGTCGCCGTCTGGTCCAGGCGCAACAAGTCCAGTCGAAAGATTGCCACTGCCCAAACGCAACCAACCCTGGCGGAGTATTACCGCTAATCCCGAAAGCAGCAAGACCCTGTGTAGCATCATCGCCTTCGTTGTCAAGTGCGTGAGCGAGGGCACCTCCGAGATCTGCCCCGTACGCAATTTGGCGAGCGGTAGCAGACCGCCTTGCTACTTGAGACCTGGGCTCGTGCGCATCCTTCGACTAGGCGAATTTGGAGTGTCGCCTCACATTTCCCTTATCTGTAAACAATGCGTTAGGGTAGTAGAATTGGTGGAACTTATCCTAGCATGTTGAAGTCGTCGACGGACACATCCATGGCTTGGCGGGGCGGTCGTGCACAACTCGGCACAAACAGACACCATGCGTGAGGCAATAGTTGGTTACCTCGGTAGGATATCGTCCCTCCCATCGGCAAACAATACAGCGGCGCCGCTTTCTGCTCTTCTCGGCATGAATTTGCCTCGAAGCCACGGAAGTACATGCAGTTGTCGGGAGCACAGCAACTACACTAGGAGAGGGCTGGGAAGAGGGCGTGTCGAGTTGGTCTCCTTCTCCTCCGTCACCCAATTCTCCGCTGTACAGCATGCGACCGTCGCTGGGTGCATTCTTCCATTGTCCATTGAGAAGCTCACCAACTAGCTCCATCACAAACTTTCTATGGGGATCACGCGTTGCTGGATCCGCCTGTACCAAACGTCGCGTAAAATACGCGTTGGAGCTCGCCACATCGATGAGCGCGAGCGCCAACTTCTTGTGCCAGCGTTTGTACGAAGGACCATCTGCAGTAGAGAATCGCCCGCGTATTTGATCAAGGCGATCAACACCTTGCATATTGGTATTATACTGAGCGACGCACTCTGGAGCTGGAAACGACTACTTCTCGTTACCAACCATGCGGGTGATAGTTGTAATGCTCGTTGAGTCCGCATTGGACACAAGGTTGACCACGTTACCGTCGCACCATGACGCTGCAAGCATGCTGTGATCGTGCGAGACAGCTTGGCGATAGTCCCCTCGGGTACAGTCGTCTTTGTGAAGAATAGTGTGACCTGGGAAATGTTTGCTGTTGGCACGGATAGTGCCGCGACCATAGAGGCCTTTCAGTCGGAGCTCCTGGAGAAGCTGCACGGACGTATAATAGTTGTCCATGTTGACAACCCTATTTGTTCCGAATAGCGGTCTTGTTACCTCCAACACATGCTGTCTGATTTTAGATACTTCCTCCAGCTCCTCTCGCAGGTTTTGCGCTTCAACTTGGTCAACTACACCATTCAGTCTGTCCAAGATGTCGCTTCGGTTGCAGTGAAGTTTGTAATTCAGCGGGACCCACGTAGTAGAGCAGCACACCATGTACAGCCGGAAATGATATTTCCCAGTAGGCTTCATGGGATTATACACGATCATGTGGCGACCTTGACGCGAACGACACGCAACACTTGCTTCATCTAGCGCAACATCTCGACCAACGCGAATATACTGACCACCAGTGATCTTTAGCAGGTTTAGAAGAGGTCGGATGCGAGCTGCAGCATCTTGATCTAGTGTGTTAGGGACCGCATTGAAGCTCAGACATCGCCGCAGTAGCTTGAAGCGATGCAGCGTCATGATGCCATCAAGCGAAGTTGTAACACCACCAAAAATTAGATCCTCCGCTTGTAGACCCCAGTAATTTGCGTACTCGCCTTTATCGTTCGTTGCCATGAAGAATAGAATGCCCAGGAAAATCATGAGCTCGTCAAGTGTGAACTGGTTCGCCAGCCCAATGCCGTTCACCACGGCGTACTTGTTAGTTTCATGCAGCACTTGACGCCAAAAGTAAAGCGGTATGTAGGCAAAGAAGCTGGAACTGGCAGAATGCTCAAACAAATGTTTAAACTCAGGTCGCAAGTAGCTTCGTGTCGATCCATCACCGTGCTTGTACAGATACGAAGGCATCTGAACTTCTCCAGACGGAACAAAGCGCATGCTTCTGATTGCTTCAACTTCAGCGAGGCTGGCTGGAAGTAACTCAGTCGGATCGAAAGCTTCAAGTACTTCTTCCTCTTCGCAATCTGAATCATTTTCCTCAAAGTCGATCTCATCGGTGGGATCAGGACGTACGAGGATTCTCCAATCCGGGTTCTTTACTCGTGTAAGCACAGTGTAGTTTTGATGCCAACCTGCACCATCCCAACGCTGATATGCTCCACAGCGCTCTGGAACTGACTGTCTAGCCATCGAATCTGGAACAGCGAAGCGTTCTTCCCTTTTTTGACTAGGCGATACACACGACCAATAATGTACGCCGTGCCAATTGGTCTGTAGACCTTTGCTTTCATCCATCGATCTTTTTCGGGCGAAAATGCAACTAGCTTGTCCACGTAGACATCCTGCAGCATGACGGGAGGCGTACGTGTAGGAGTTGCTGTCTCAGTTGGTGCTGCGCGCCCTGGTTGTGGTGATTCTAGGCCTACAGCAATTTGGCCTTGGATCTCGCGACCAGTACTGACTGTCTGCACCGTAGTTCCACCAACATCACGGCCCCGTGCGTCTGCAGTACCAACAAACAGATTGTTACGTTGTGGTTAAAACCAATACCAAACTCATAAACACACCTTCGGATATTGGGCCGCTAGTGATTCGCGGAACTTCAAGAGCTCCTCGGCCCCCATGCCCTCCTTGTGCACCAAGTCCTTCTCGCACTGCTAGCGTTACATGCCCGGCTCTGACGGCTAAGTCGACAACACCAACTGCACTGCCGCCACCTTCAGTGCTGGCAGCGCTCGTGGCTCGAGGGCCTCCACGCCCTCCTTTAGCTCCGCGCCATCCTCGAGTTCCACCCCTCCTCGAGATCACGACGCGCGGGATCACACGCAGCGGGATGCACGCCCTCCTCCCGCTCACGCGCGGCACGGGCACGGCGACATCAGCCATCGCATCATCGCCAAAAGATACCACCTTGCACCAACAACAATGCACACAGTTAGTAACTAGAACCGCACCACCGTCACTGCCTAACCCACACATTCAGCGCTTCCACCGCTCGCTGCTCGTGAGGTGCCACGCCCTCTCCAGAGCTCCACGCCCTCCTCTCGCTCCACGCGCGGCACCGGCGCCGGCTGCTAGAACGTCAGCACCCATAGCACCAGCACGGCAGACATCAGCCATCGCATCATCGCCAAACGTTCCACCTTGCACCAACAACAATGCACACAGTTAGTAACTAGAACCGCACCACCGTCACAGCCCAACCCACACCTTCAGCGCTTCCGCCGCTCACTTTTTGTGAAGTGCCACGCCCTCTCCGAGCTCCACGCCCTCCTCTCGCTCCACGCGCGGCACCGGCGCCGGCTGCCGGAACACCAGCACCCATATCGGCGGCACGGCCGACCGCTGCCGCCTCACCGGGAGCTGCACCTGCTCCAAGATCGCCGCACTCGCCTCTTTCATCGTCGTTGGCAGCGCTGGTGCCTATAACAAAAGCAAAACAAAACACAATTAGTCCACGGCGTCTTCAGCACCCCTCAGCTCGGCCTCCGCCTTCAATACCTTCTTCAGCACCGACTTCGAGGAGGCGCGTCTTCGCAATGTACCTTAGGACGGCCATTTCTCCAAGTAGGTAGTCAGTCCCCTCTTCGCCGTCGTGTCGCCTTCCAGGCCGAATGTATTTGTAGCGTGTGTCCAAAGACTTGGTAGAAGGCTGCTTGGACGTCCACCCGGCCTTTGCCAACACTCGCCACTCGCTGTTGAACACAGCAACGCCCCCGAGGCTGCTCGCTGTCTCATCAGGTGCCTCCTCGCTACCGGTACGCACGCGTCGCCGCTTCCTTGCCATATCCGTGCCTTCATGCCTGCGCTTCTGGCCACGCGGCACTTCCGACATTTTCTGCTTGATTTACAAATGAGGGCGGGGACGGATGGACGGCTGATACGCGTCGCCTATTCGTGGAGAGTATAGGGTACATAAATACATATATTCCATCACGACTTGTTTTTTTATATACATTCAAACAAAGAAACAATAAATTTTTGGGGTAGCTCCATAATTTTGGCGCCAAGTTTGCGCGGCAATTCTAGTATACAAAATGCCACACTCAAATACAAAGCATAAGATTTATGCACCACTGCACTGCGTTGTAGTTACACCATCGCCGGCCATACTGGAATAGACACATATGCAACCTAGTGTTCTACACGCTCAAATCGGAACCTTGAGCACCTATAGCTTCAAAACTAAAGGTGACGCTTGAAACAGCATCTCCAAAAGCACCCACAAACGTATAGCGGCTTACATGTTATCGCGGGAAACCAGCGGCATGATCTCGCCGGTCAACACCACAATACTACATAATGGCGCGAACTTCGGAAGCTGCAGCAGCGTGGGCATCATCCTTCGACAAGTCATCATCCAGAAAACGGGCAGTAGCGCGAATATCTTCGTAAGTTTCGCCGTTATATTTCAGCGGTGGTACGCTGTACCGAATTGTTTTGACCAATCATAATAGAATCGACCTCGAGTTGTCTGAGTGCTCACTTATTAGCCAATCATAATGCTACCTTAAAGGGCGCAAAATTCGCCCTTTTAGGGCAAAATACACCACATCAAACTGCATCAAGCTTGATTTGCACACCATCCCCGTCTTTACCAATACCTTAAAGGGCGAATTTTGCGCCCTTTTAGCTCTTATTGACTTGACCTGTATAGTATAGAAAAAATGGGCTTATATGTGCTCCTCGCGAAAGGGTTCATGAACCCTTTCGAGGCAAAACGTACCAAAGTCACTCCTTTTGTCAATTGCAGCAAATAGTCCAAAAAGGAGCCTTTTCAGTACCTTTTGTTTATCTACTAATCGCAGGCTAGATGGTTACAAATGCTGTGGAGCAAGTGGAACCTCTACAATCTTGTTTTATTATTTACTGAGAGGGCCCAGTTCCATCGCCAACCGGAGTCAATTGCATAGTGAGTCTAAGATGCGAATTAGTATTGTGCGACCCCTTCCAGGCAATCTCACCTCTCGCTAATGGCACTTGCAGACATCCACGATGCCCCAAATTATGCTTCTAGAAGAAGAAGACATGGTACTGATGCAGCTTACTCGTCAATATATAGATCACGGAGAGAGAATTGACTGGGGGCAGGTAGCACAAAATATGCGACGGGGGAAACGATCGACCAAGGAGCTTTCGCAGCGGCTCAACTCGCTTAAAATAACGTATGGATGAATATCATCACTTATCGGACCACACTTAAGGTAAGTATCAGCATTAATGGCCAATCATATATTATTTGTTTTGGATAACCAATCATATCCAAATAATACGTCAGTCTTGGCCAATCAATCCGTCAAGGGTTAGGTTGGTCATCTAAACTCCACATCGGACGCATTAGGTCCGAGGGGCCCGGAAAATATGTGTATCCCCTTACAAATATTAAGATGCCGGCGTATCACACGCATATTTTTATTTTATCCGACCGACGTAATCATTTCGGTACAAACGACTCCATTTGCGCTTTTAAAATTAGTTGTATTGATACCGTAGCAATTTCTCGAAAGCGCTTAAATGGCGACATGATGCATGGAATTAAGAACCTCTGTGCTGACGAGATGCAGTAGCTACACTTGTAACTTCTAATAACTTCCGTGAGGTGGTGCATTGCGAATTCTTATTATTGTACCCGTGTTTAAAGAGACATTGACAATTTGCATCAATTACTTGGACATGTTTTACATTATTTAGTGCTCGCTAGCTACACGCAACTACTGAGAGCATCGAGCTCTTCATCGACACGACCAGCAGCTGGGACAAGCATCTGGACTTGGTGCGTCGCCAGCGGGCTATCGGCCGGCAGCATGCTTCCCGCCCTGCCGGGTGGGGAAATAAATCTTGCGGGGTCTGCACGGGGCCTGGCGGCGGCATCCTCGCTGCTGATAGCTGGATGACTCGACGATACCATCGAAGTCCGCCCTTCGGAGTGCCACCTGCAGGCACGCACCCAACGGGCAGCCTGCCGCCCGCCCTGCCGGGCAAGCCACCACAGCCCTTGAGGATCCGCCCGCTGTTGTTGTCCCCTTCGCTCCTTCCGTCTTTGTTGTCCTACATGTCCTTGGTGTTGCCCCTCTTGTCGCCGCCGCCACCCTCCTGCTGCATGCCGTCGTCGCCACCCTCCTGTCACACGTGCCGCCGCCGTCATCGCCCCTCGCCATCTCCCTCCCCGCCTTCTGTAATAATAATGTTTAGCGTGTGAGCCACGATATCTAATCCATAAACTAATAAATTGATTTTGAGGGTTTTTATTTAGCGTACCCTAGTTTTGGTACAGGTCCGATAAGGTCATCCGGTCCGATAAATTTTGGTATGGAACAAACTTAGCTGATTTCTCAGCATGCTTTGCTACCTCTGTACGCGTCGCTCGCGACCGCAGATCCTTTCTTTTGCATCGCATTTTGCGTGCCAGATCGGCGGAGCTCGAGACGACCCTCTCGTAATCTGCAACTGCACGCGGAATCATCATGTAACAAGTCTCCTGTCGCCAGCTTGCCGGCGGGAAGTATAGCTGCTGGTGCCTGCTGCGCTGTTTTGCCAAAGTCCCGGTGTTCTTGGCTTCGTTCGCTACGTACCTCAACACAGTTCTAGCCGCCTAAGCTGCCGGACTCACGTCCTGCTTATTAATATACTCGGGCTACGGAGACTCTTTGTATCTCCCCCGTACTAGTTCTCGTTTTCGTTCTCGTTTTCGTTCTCGTTTTAATGTCACTGCTGTCGTACAACAAGCTGCCCAGGCCCCGTGCCAACACCTTCGCGCACTCCGAAACCTCCAAGCGTTCCGTGGTGTCGTCATTCGTGCTCGCACCGCCGTGAGCCTCCACCTGTAGCCGCCTTGTCTGCCCAGCTGCAACACACGCACAGTGACGCGTCCGTCACCGCCTTCGTACTCATCTCGGTGCTCGTCAAGTCGCCCAACTCGTCCTTCTCGGCCTACTCGCCCTTCTCGTCACACACACACCACTCGTTGTCGGCCCTGACTCGCTCTGTTCACTTTCACTTGCTCGCTCCGTGACAAGTTTGGCTCTAAGCGACTCCGCCAGCCGCCACTGGTTCACCCGTCGCTCTCTCGGAGCACTGGATCGCCCTTCGTGGGTTCACCGCCTTCGTCCCTTCATGGCGACTCGTCAGCTAAATAGCTCGAATGAGCGGTGCACGTCGCTCGGCACGGCTCCGTTGGTCGTGGCCGGTTACTGTCGCCTGCCACCCATCCGATCTTCGTTGTTCTTCCTCGCCGTCACAACTTCCGTCTGGAGTGCTGTGTTGTTCTCTAATGACACGCCACTGTTCGCCACCATTCCGTTCGGGGTGTGGTTGGGAAACCATTCTGTTACACGCCTTCTACTTCCTCAGA